CCCCAGCCAGCCATGCTGGCTGGGGAATTCTGGGAGTTGAAGTTCACACGTCTTAAAGTTGATAAGGTTGAGAAACCCTGCAATCAGTCGTAGTCCATGAGTTGTGAAAGATAACAGATCACTGCGCACTTACGCTTAGTACAAACCCCTTGCTAATTTTTTTCTAATGGGAGCAAACTGGTTAGCTAACATCCCTGCATCAAGTCATAGCTAAGCTTGACACAGCTACCATTGCCTGCATCCAGACATAATATTGATTAATCAGTATTTACTGAGAACGTTGACTTGTCATTTCACTAACACACCTGAGGCTAATGTTAAGAGTTCCCACATTTCTTAGACGGGTGACAAACCAAGTGTTTCCTTGCTGTGACCATGATTTTACCTGTTCCCACCAAAAGGAAGCACCAAACAGGAAGAATTTGACACCAGGTCATGCCCAAACAATCAGCTAACTTACTTACTAATGGTAGTTTATTATTCCACTGTAGTGTTTCTACGTTTCTGGATGTTCTGCACTCTTTTGATATTTTATACTTTTAAAAACCTTTGCTGTAGGAGCAGAGAGTTTTTATCCAATGTTTTCCTGTGCTGTAACATTTCCAATTTCTTTTCTGAAAAATTAAGTAGGAATTGAATGAGGAGGATCCAAAAACTGGAATTAGGGTAATTGGCAAATTAAAAATATCTCAGAAATTAAAAAACCGTCAGGGCACTTGCCCAAAAGTTCTGAAATGTGATTTTAGAAGGTGTCCACTGGAGAGCAATGTTATCAAGCAGAATCCTTGGGATGTGCTAAAAGTAGTATATAACCCATTTTAGCACCTTCACATTATTCTTCTATTTAGATGTTAATACAGCAGAAATATGTTCTCTTGAATTGGCACGCTGTGGGTTGTTTACAAGTATAAAAATAAAAGCAATGTTCCAGTAAAACTAGGAATTTATTTGTATATTGGGGGGGATTTTTAAAAATGTTCCCATTACATGGGAATTAACTTGATTTCTGTTCCTCGCCAAATGTTGTTCCTAGCCAAATACATCAGGCCCTTGGAGAAAAGACTTTGTGAATGTCTGTGGCTTAATAATTTAATATGATGTGCTTTTTTAGGGCGCTAAATGAGTTTCAAATCTACTGAAGACACTGAGTTTTTTTTCTTCTGTCCGCTTCTGCTTTTTTTTTTAAATCAATATGATAAAAATCTCACCTCCTTCAGGGAAGTAGTTGTGAAATCCAGGGTTGCAACTGTGAATTGTAATCAAAGGGAGCGCAACCATTTTTTTTGTTTTTACAGCCAGTATGATCTAGCGATGAAGGGGCTCGATTAGGCCTGGGGAGATCTGAGTTCTAATCCTGCCCATGGCGAGGAAGCTGGCTGGGTGACCTTGGGCCAGTCCCTCTCTCTCAGCCCTAGGATGAAGCAGAGGAAGACAGTAGCAAACTGATTCCTAAACTGTTTCCTAGAAAACTGTAGGGACTTGTCACCAGGAGTAAAATCTGACTCAAAGGCAAAAAATAAATATACAATATAATTTGGATCAGAGGCTCCAAATTATATTGAGTGGTGAGCCAAGATCTTTGTCTTTGAGTGGTGTGCCAGGATTTTTATCCAAAAAAGCAGACAACCCTGAACAAGGAAAAGATTGTAACCAGTAAAAAACCAGTTTGTTTTTTTTCTGTTATAAAAAAGAGAAATTCGTCAGGAACCAAGCTGAACTCAGGAACACATCTGTGCCATTTCTATGACATCAATATGAAAGTGGTTTGTCCCTCCATTTTCTGGAATGTCTTTCTTAATTTCTCACTCTAGCCTATAGCTTGGGTAGTCCCCATCCAGGGTCTAACCAAGCCAAATTCTGCTTAGCCGTTGCACCTGGGCAAGATAATGATGATTTGAGAATCTTGACGAGCTGTGAATCTTTTTGCCCTGAAACCTAAAGGGTTGCCCTTTATTAAAGGGTTCCATTTTTATTAACTGCGCTCCTTCACTTGATTTGACATTGTCTGCGTGTTCCCCAGTACATCCACATGTTCCTCAACGAAGTCACTATCCTAGTTGAGATTCTGAATGAGGCCAAACATTCCTTCGCTCTGTATACGCCAGAGAGGACTAAGCAACGGTGGCCCGTCCGCCTAGCAGCTGGCACCGAACAAGAAATGCACGACTGGGTATGTTTACAGATCTCTTCCAAGCTGGTCAGGAACCACATTGTATCAGGGTTTACACATTGCCCAAGACAGAACGCAGTTTGTTTGCTTGTTGACTTAGTTTGTTGGGGGAGCCCAGCCCTGGTCTTGGTAAAGCTTGGTTGGTGGCTTAGCACAAGGTGCAGAGTCACCTAGTGATGGGTTATTGGGCAAACTCTGGTTTAGAACAGAACTGAAATCGCTCTTAAAATGGGTCCTTCCTCCATCCACTTTGGGAACCCAGCTCTCAACTTGCTGAGCAAAGCCTGGGTTGGCCCTGGACCAAAAACCATCTAGCAGAAGGATGGAAAGTTGGTAGGACTGGGTAGCAACTCCATGTTGACCTTTCCAAAAGGTTAGGAGGTGTCTGAATTGTGCCCATGCGTCTCCCAATGTTTTGTGTCTCCCAGCTGGCACTGCTGAGTATGTCTTGTTGTGAGGGCCGGCAGCTCCAGGGCCCCCCTTCTCATGAAGCCATCTGGTCACTGACCTGCAAAGGTGACATCTTTGTGAGTGAGCCCGGCCCTGACCTGGAAGCTATAACACACCCGATGCCCTGTGACCAAATGTGAGTATTCAGACTTCAATCTCCCTTGCTAATAAAATGTCTTTGCAACCAGGAGCATCTCTCTTTTGGAGAACTCAAGCACAGTATGAAGGAATGGAGACTGAGCCTTGGGACAGAGGTTGGAATGAGTGAACCGTTAAGGGGGGACTTTCAGAAAAGTTTCCTCAGCCCTAGGAAACAGGAAAGTGTGAGGAAGAAACTCCAAATAACCCCGCCTTGAGTTTCTTTAGTATAAGATGGGGCAGGGAGAAGCTTGGAGAGATTTTCAAGATTCTGCTCTTTTAACCAATAAAGAACATCCTTGGAATCTCTCCCAGGCCTCTTTCTGGACCTGGCCTACTTTGAAGGGTTGATCCATAAGAAAGCAAATTGGGATTGGCAGAAGGGTGATGCTCTAGAGACCAGGAGCAGGTAAAGTGAGGCAGAGGAAGGGGCTAAACTGTATCTCTAAAATTAATCCAGGATTGACAGGGCACCTACTTGTCTAGTCTAGTGAGGGAAACACTGGTTTGGTGACCCTTCGTGTGGAGTTAGTTTGCTTCTGGGCTTCATAATTAAGTCTAACTTCACTTTGGGTTCTCTCGTAATCTTAGAGTGGATGAAATCCTTTGTCTTATTACGGGTCTTGCAGGAAATCTGAGCAGAGTGTCTTCTCCTTGTAGGTTTTGGCGCCAGGTCGGGGGACATCTGCGCCTGATTGAATGCAACAGTGATGGCATTGTGTGGGGACTGGGATATGACCACACTGTTTGGATTTACACTGGCGGATATGGAGGAAGCTTTTTGACGGGTAAGAAATACCCCTTCCGGTTGATCTACTCTTCAGCTGAACATGGGGAATGGGTACCTGCCTATTTTACAAGAGCTTCTGGCTCTCTCTTGTTTACCCTTCTGCTAAAACAGTGTTTCTCAACCTTAGCAGCTTTAAGATGTGTGGACTTCAATTCCCAGAATTCCCCAGCCAGC